GCACTTGTTTCTAAAAGCTTCTTGTTACTACTAGTAGGGCACCTGTTACTACTAGCGATGCACTTGTTTCTAAAAGCTTCTTGTTACTACTGGTAAGGGCCCCTTTCCCAATAAACTCATTAAAGGGGCCCGTACCTTCCTCTTTTCCTCGATATGTTCCTTCCAACAAAACTGGAGGCAGAAATACACTTTTGCCATATATATATATATGAATCATATATCATATAGATGTTTGAAAAACCGGCTGGGGAGGAGGTGGCTGTATGTATGTGCCACATGTGAATCCTGTACAACATACGCTTGTTTTGCAAGGGCATCAAACCCGCTTGTCTCACATTGGCATGCAAAAAGAATCTATATATATATATGTTGATGTCGCACCGGTCCAACTATAAACCACGTGATCCAAACCAACTACTGCAAACCAAGCATCTGCAACAAGGAAATTCCTGTCAAGGCGAAGAAGAGCTTCTGCAAGCCATTCTTTGTAAGTTGCCTGTGTCAGCAACAAATTGACATGGTGCACGCAGCACGTCAAACAAAACCTCCTTGAATCTACAACACACGCATCGTGTGGAAGGCCTGAACACTACGCCTAGACCAAAATTACATAAACTGTGCCAGGGTGCGCCACTTGTGGCAGCACGAATGTTGGCATAGTCAAGTTGGAGAACGTCAGTGCTGACCTGGCAGCATGCTGTACAAGAATTTCCATGTTTTGAGCAGGCAATTCGTCGAAACAAACTGTTAGACCTTGAGTATACATCTGGTTCTTTCTTGACACAAATCGTGGATTCTTCACATGTAAGTCAAGCCGGAGGAACAGAAACCAAGTTGGCTGGTTCCAGATCTCTGCCTCCTTGGGAAACCAAGCCTGCAGCATGCTGAAGTTCAGGAAAGCGCGGAATGCCTTGGTTCAGGCTGGGGGCGGCACCCCCAAAAAAGAACTTTGGCTACAACAACACCTGGCAATGCCAATGCATTCCAGCTATCATAGCTGTGCCATCCAATGTGTTCACCATTTGTGCACACAACTGCTGCCATCCAAGGCACAATCATCTTCCAGGTCGCGCTGAAGTTTCGCTCAACCCAAATGAACATGGGTGCAAAAATGGCGGAACTCACGAAGTGCAAAGGATAGTACGCCATAACCTGAAACTCAACTGGCCGAAGCTGAAACCAAAACGTAAATGTTACTGCTATGCGTTCCGGACAGCGGATGAGCCCCTAGTAGCGTCCTCGCTCCTAGAGCCCCTAGTAGCGCCCTTGCTCCTGAAAGTTGTAAAACAGATTTCCCTCAAGTCCTTGAAAACATTGGGCGCCGTTCGCACCAACGTTTACTACTACTTGCACGCAGCATCAACCACAGCATCGGAATCGGCACAAACCTCTCCCCTCTTTAAGTGCTCACACCTTTTAGATGTGCCATGGGTGGGGGACACCAAGAAACTTTCCTACAACCTTGCTCAGTGTCTGCTTTGGTGACCGTGGTGCCTTGGCATCGTGGAAATACTGAGAAATGCTCATGTTCTCAACATTTGCATTTTCCAACGCCACGCACAACGAAGGCGAAGCATGCCTTGCTGCCTTGCTCGAAATAGCCACCCTCTTTGCTTTCCAGGTTCGCCCTTTTGCAAGAGATTAGAAGACACCATGTCGGCCGGACACCTTCAAAACGCTCTTGTAGGCGAAGAAAGCTTAGCCAAACCACTGGCTCTCAAAAGTCCGCCCACACGTAGGCGCTCACGCCACAAAGCTGCTCTGCAACTTGTTGCCACCCACCAGGCCTGCCACAACATTAGCTTGCACGCATCAACGGGTTGTTCTGGCATCACTGCCTTGAGTGAGAACAAGCAAAAAGAGATCGTTAGTCTCAGCACGCAAGCTTCAACGGTCTCCTGCAGCAAGGTGGCTTGATGCACCTGTCAGCTGGGCAGAGTAGGCAACTTCTTATCCAACACAAACTTTTGGGCCTCTGGTCCTTGGCTCCTTCGGCAGACATGAACCCTTCTCCCCTCAACCTTGTCAGGAGCAACACTGTACACGAGAACGATGCCAGTGTTCAAGCTTGAACCAGCCAAGCATCACAGTGTTTGCGTGACTTCTCCTAAGTCTGGGCAGCCAGGAGGGCCAAGTTTCACAAATTGAGATAGCGAACTCAGCAGACTTCGCGGGTTCCGTTGCGCTCTTCGGCAAGTCTCCTTGGAGCCACGTTAAGTCACATGTAAAGCCTGTGGCAGCAGCATTGACACTGTAAGGAAATCCCACAGGCGAGGTGCACAAGGACATTGCTTTGCCAGGCAAGATGCTCGAGGGGCACGGCTGAGTCAGCTGCGGCGTGGTGTCGGCAACAACCGCAACCACTGTTTAGTCAAGAAGCGACGTGCAAAAACGAAAAGCAAAAGCAGAGACACAGAGCAGACACGATCAATGCAATCACTCAAGCAGGACATCACGAGATGCATTTGTTGCATTTGCATCTCCAATCAAGAACAAGAGCCTGCAAATGATGAGCGAACAAACGTCTATTGACTGACACGCCTGACCTTTTCGAGTGCCCATTATCGATGTTTACATGCACAAAGATCAAGCAGGAGAGCAGGGGTAGGTCAGGCTGCACATAAACTACTTGCATCTACTTGCGACAGTGACCTCCCCACACGTCAACTGATAGCCTACCCCATCCCAAATACAATAGAACAACTATGAACAGCTTATACTGTACCTTATACATGATACAAAAAGGACTGCAGATTGGGCACTCTCTGCCAGAAGAAGAGCTCAGGATTTGCAACTTTCTTCTCCTCCACTCCCAAAGCGCCCAGCTTCGTTGTGGTGTAGGCAGAGACATATCCTGAAAACATTGGGACACATGGACAAATATCCTGAAAGCACCAAACATAATGTGCGCAAAAGTGTCTGTTTGTGCCTGTTCAACGCAGAAAATTGACTGTAAGATCATGATCTGTAAGAGGAGCTCAGAAGTTGGGGGGCTCCTTTTACTTTCCCATGAAATGAAGGAAATGCTTTCACAAAAAGCATGGAGCTTTTGCTGGCCTGAGATCACGAAAAAGCCTCCCACCAAGACGTTCTCTTGAGTGAGAAGCTTCAAGGCAGTGAGGTTGTTGGTGCTGAAGCGCGCAAAATGGGCCACGACGATCGGAAAGACCTTTGTCAAAGAGTCCCGTCGCTGGCTCTGTCGCTTCGCGAGTCAAACAGGGACTGAACGAATCAATGTCCCTGTTGGCTTGTGATGCTTGTCGTAACAGTCAAACAGCACTGAACCAAATATGGACCCCTACGGGGAGGTGACTTTGGTCTGTCACACCAGGTCACACTGGATAACGATGTCCACGCGCCACCGGCGCACCGATCAATGGAACTGGCAATTTCTGGGAACTGAGTCACTACGAGGCAGCTACAGTAACCAAACAGGAGCTGCCCAACAAACCTCAATAGAGGTTCCACTGTTCCGGGGCTCTCAATTTTGTACTGATGTTGCTCGGGGACATCAGAAGTGTTTGCTGCTCTCCTGGACATAGCTGGGTGCTACTTGGAGAAATTGTGGTTATGTTGCGCATAAAAATATAAAAATCAAGGGAAAGCCAAGGGGCCAATGCAAAGCGACATCCATCGATGCAATCAATGCGTGGCTTTGAAGCTTTGGGTTTCGCCACATCCTTGACATCTGCAGGCTTTGGGGCGGCCTTGGCATCAGGATCGATCTTCTGAGTTGCGCTGCTCATGATTTGGGCGCTGAACGTAGGCGGCGCCGGGTTTGAAATTGCAAAGGCTGCGGGAAGAGACCAGTCTGGCCTTGACATAGTCAGAGTCAATGAATGTTCATGATATCTAGTGTCACTGTATACGTAACGTCTGAACCAAATGCAGCCACAGCCTGACAAAACTGGCGAATCATCCAACGAGGTTTCACACGTTTCCCTGCGAAGCAACTATTGACCGTCCCCTGGAGCCTTCCTCCAAGCGCGGCGGCAGCTGCCATACTGCGAGCACTTGGCAATGGCGCAACCTCCTGCACCAAGGGAGCGCAAAGTTGCCATGCAGCTAGGGAGAACCTATGAGAACCAATAGAAGCTACTAGGAACAAGAAGCTCCTAAGGGCTCCTGGCCATACTACTAGGAGCAAGGACGCTACTAGGGGCTCCTGGCATCGCTACTAGGAGCATTCTTACTACTACTACTACTACTACTACTACTACTACTACTACTACTACTA